TCCCCGGTACCAAAAAAAACAAAACAAAAATTTAACCTTAATTTGTCTATCCTTCAACCACAGTATTCAACTGACTTACTCTCAATCCACACTGAAAATACATACATTTCTTCCACTTTCACTACCTCTACACTAGTCCAAGCCTTGAATAATGGCCTCCTAAGCACTCATCCTCTTTCTATTTTTTTTCCACTCTATGTCAGCTGGTGTCATCTTCATCTTCATGCATTCTATGCAGGAGTGCTACCACTGAGCTACATTCCCAGTCCACCCACCCACCATCTATTTTTTTAAAGCCTTAAAATCCCCATCTGAAAAGCCCCAGACCTCATTTTACACATTGCTGAGCTTGTTCACCAAGGTTCAGGCTCACAGACTTCCTGTTCCCCCAACACACCCAGCTGGTTGACATGTACTTTCCCCTAGGTTTCACATGGCTCCTTTTAAGGGCTCATTTTAACTGCTGCCTGCTATAAAGGAGTTCATAACTATGCATTCTAAAGTGCCACCCAATTGCTCTCCAGCTTATTGCTGTTTTCTTGGCACAACACATTGCTAGTTATCAGGATGTGTCTGTGTGTTGTCAGCTGCTCAAACTTCTCTTCATTGAATGAATGGTAAGCCTACTCCTCCATTCCCAGATGAAAGATGAAAGACAGGAAATACTGAGAAGGGACTAAAAATGTTATTTCCTCTTTTCTTTTTCTTTTTCAAACTTCCCCCACAATAACTTGTTTATCTTTTTTCAATTTCTCTATTATGAGTAATAATGAAATCCTTGTTCTGAAAAGTGCTCATGTTCAGGGGCAGCAGCAAGCAGGAATGCTGAGGACTTAAATCAGCTCCATATATAGTCCTGAAGAAACAAGAACCCCAAAGGACAGGACAGGTGACAGTGGCTTTAAACAGGAAAGAAAAATAGGCTGAGTCCCTGTAATGCATAGAGAAGAAATAAGAGTCAAAGTAGGGGCTGAAAAGAAATCTAACACTTAACAACAGAAAGGCCCTGGGACTTCCTTATGCCCACAGGGGTTGAAAACTGTGAATTCAGCCTGCTCACCTTCCTGTTGTCCTGGTAGCAAGGCCTAAGCCTGCCTAGAATTAACACTGAAAACTCACCCCATCACCACCTCCCACCCAGTTCATCCTTTGGATTCAAGCACTACTCTTCTCTTCCTTTTTGAGAAATCATTGCTTTAAAACTTCAGTCCACCCAGAACTTTTTCTTTTCTGACCTTCTTGTTTCAAGAGGAAAATCCAACTGTGTAGGACTTCATTGTTTTCTATTTATTTTTTGTTTTATTTTTACTTTTGCTCTTTACTCAATCAAGGATCCTATACAGTATTGAACACAAAATGGATATTCAATTGATTCTTTTGGATTAATTAACTAAATTCACACTCCGGCTGCAGTTTATGTTATTGGCCAGTTGGGCTCATACCCTCAGGTTCATCTGCTTTCCCTGACCAAATCAAAGGGGCCATATATGGGTAAAAGAAAAACAGATTTATTCAAAGCCAGCTCCGAGGAGAAGAGCCTATTTGCTCAAACTACCACCTCCCCATGTACAGGTGTGTTGGGCTCTCTTATAACAAGGAACAGTGTGAGAGAGAATACAATGGCATAGACCTTTCAAAACTAGTTTCATCCCTTCCTGGATCCAGACCTCTCCCTCCCTTGCCTAAGAGAATGAAATTGGGCTTGACCTCCAGGTTCCAGGATCTGAATATTCTGCCCATTCCTCTTGGTAGTGGACAGGTAGGGGAGCCATTTATGCCTTAGGCCTCTGGAAGTTTGAAAGCCACTTGCCTCCAAAGGGGAAAAAAATCTAACTTTTAAAGTTCCATTTTGCAATGCCAGTTACATTTGTACTCTGATGAAAGAGCAAGATGGGAAAAGTAAAAAGAGAAGGAGAATGTACAAAAAAGGGGAGAAGGTTCTAGAACTCAGAGAAAAGAAAGTAAAGCCACTGAAATCCATCTAAATCACTGAAATTCATCATGAAGATTTCATCACAGTTTATACTGTGTTGTCGATCTGCTAAAATCTAAGTTGACAGAAAATTGGCAGAAAAAGGGAAATGGACACAGGCCAATTTACACTCTTTTGTTAAATCTTTCCACAGCTTTGCCTAATTTGCAGCTATCTCCCTCTCAAAGCCAGGCAGCTTCCAATTCTTTCTTCATGGAAATATCGATTTATCTAAAAGTCTGATTTATACATAGCTAGAAGTAACTATCTGGGGACAGCAAATGAGATGAGCTTTCTACGATCACCTGAATAAAAAGAATAAAAATGTACTGTGGATAAGCAAATTTCACTGGGAAAACATGAAATTTCTGTATGTTTTGTAAATCATAACAAAAGCAAGTTCTGCCATTTCTATGTGGAAAGTAATTGACTTTGTTCCTCCAATCAATATTTTTAAATTTTATTGTTCTTGTGGGTAAGTGCAGTCCCACAGAGAAAAGATAGAGACCTCAACTGCCTTACCCATCAAGTGGGTTTATAAACTATCATCACAGAAAATCACTTCAGGATGCACTAGTCTGGGCCATAGACAGATTTATAAAGAAGTACATACTCAGAAAGGAGTGTGGGCATTTGAGAGGTGAGGTACTTTATGGTCTGGAGATGGGAGTATTAATATGGTTACTGGGAATTCCTCAAGATAATGATCTAGGGCTGTTTGCATCACTGAAAGCTCTAAAAGGTCTGCCAGCACTGATCTAGTATGTGTATTCGTAGTATCTGTTAAGTTATCCATTAGTGGGCTAGGTTAGAATGCAAACTATTGCATGTGTTTCAAGTTTAAAGATAATGGTACACAATTAATAGTGCTGTTTATTTGTGAATATATAGTTTCAGATGGCCCAATATACAGATTTATTCTATCTTTTAAGACTCTTGGAAATTTAGAAGAAAGCCTGGAAGGGAAAAATCAGGCCTAGAATTCCAAAAAAAAAAAAAAAAAAGTATTGTAACTTAGGGTAACTTTGTGTTCTGGTGTCCTAAAGCCACAGTTCCCCTTCCACTCTTTTACTGGTACACAGATTAGTGTGTTTCATTTTGGCACATCTGTACATGTGTATAACATAATTTGATCTTTTTACCCTCTTCTTACTTGCCTTCAGCCACCCTGCCCTCTAGTTTCACATTTTTGGGGGTGTTCAATGTGTATAATGCATTTTTGCTCATATCCATTCCCGGAGTCTTCTTAAAAGTACAATTTTAAAATTACAAGTTTACTGTTTCCTTTCTACCTATCTTAATTTCTTCTATCCTTCCTCATCAAGTACATTCACACTGTTGTGTAATAATCACCATACATCTCCATAACTCTTTTCATCTTGCAATATTAAAACTCTCTCCACATTAAACAATTTCCTTTCTCATTCTCCACCCCACCCTCCATTCCCTGGTAACCACCATTCTACTTTTTGTCTTTGTGAATAGAAATCAACTCACTTTTAAACTCATCGCTGAGGGTTTTTTGCCTCTTTATGAGGCTGCTGGAGCTGTTATTCATTGTTTCCCAGCACCTAGTACATGTCATTTATTCAATAAATTTGCAAATATTGAATGATTGAAGTTTTCCAACCCCTGAACCACCTTCAGATGGCCCTAAGTCAAAGACACAGACATACAGGCAATACAAGATGGATGAAAAAGAACATCTCTGAAGGGGAAAGGCACAAGATTTTTTTCTATTTATCTCCACCCAAAATTTATTCCGTAATATAAATTAAACACCTTCTATATGATGGAGCATGTGAGGCTCTCGGTACAAAGATAAAGACAAATATTTCTTCCAGTGTGTACTTTCTCATTACCACCACACAGCAGAGTGATGGCAAACCTTTTAGAGCTTTCAATGGTACATCCAGTCCACTGGGACACGTGACATAGCATTTAGGTCTGCTATAACTATGTATGTATCAATTTTGCTACTAGACTATAAGCTTTGTGAGGACATGGTCCATTGTGCACTAAGCATCCAACAAACAGCTGGCAAATCATGTTATGGAGATTGTAGCTTGCTAGAGGAAAAAGATTCACAATCCTGTATAGTCAGGATGCTTAGTTGTGAAAAAGAAAAGCTGTTGAGTCACTGATGTCGCAGGAAGAAAGATAGTGTTGATATTGGTTACCTCTTGGATTGCTGGAAAATACAGAGATTCAGAACTGTGACTAAGCTTCCAAGAATAATAAACAAACCCAGTAAAAAACTGGCTCCATGAGAAACATCTCTCCAGTGCCATTTTTGTCTGAATCAGACACTGAATCTTGCAACTAAGGAGAAACCAACAAAGCCAGCTGCCTCTGTTTCTCTTTGTAGCAGCTTTTTCCGGTTATTCATACCTGAACTTAAGTTTCACATGGATGAACCTGACTTACAAGGCCAAAGTAACATTCTTGAACCCAAATGAGAAAAAGGCTGGGAATTCTGAGTTCTAAATAAAGGGGAGTTATTCAAAAGATGATAGGCAACCATAAATATGACAAGTATCCGCTGCACTGTAGCAATATGTGACAGGAGCTAGATTGAATATATGCATTCAAAGTCTTTTGTTCTCATGGAATTTAAGTCCTTCTAGGAAAGACAAAGAATAAATATATAATTGAGAATAATGATAAATAGTGCTAGATGCTGCAAAGATAATGCTGTGAACTACAGTATGGAAGAAAGGCTTTTCTGAGACAAGTAGAGACCTGATGAAGGATCAGCACGCAAAAAGCTTCTGAGATGGGAAATGACTTGGTATTTCTTGGTATTTCCAGCAAGGAGGCTGGAGCTGAGAAGTGAATGGGGGAGTAGAAAATTAGGTGGGACGGGCAGTCAAGGACCATGTTACATAAGGCCATGCAGACATAGTTTTGGATTCAGTCAGGTGGCAGGGAATGGCATGATCTGACTTCTATTTAAAATGATCACACTGTGTAGAAAGCAAATTACAGGTAATGAGGATAGACGTGGGGAGAGTAAGCTGATGGAAGTATGAACAAAAGGATCAGAGCACTAAGCCCTTCCCGGGTGACTGGGGAGAAGGTAAGATGTGAAGGAAATCTTGTGAACTATGAAAACTACCCAGGTGTGTGTGTGTGTGGGGGGCTATCAGAAAGCATCTTGGGCAAAAGGAGTGTCAAACTAAAGTTTTAAAAATCAGAGAGATTCTCCAGTAAATAATACTTATTTTGGAACAGCATTGCAATAACAGCAGAGCACTGCAATGGGAATACACATGCAATAGTAAACTAAGGGTGTATTCAAAGAAGGTTGAGGCAAGCAAAAGTTTTTAAAGACAAAAAATAAAGATTACATCAGATATTTTGAAACAGTAATCCTTAGCCACAATCATTAATAACAAGAGTGGCATCAATCCAAGGTTGAACAGTTGGTAGGCAGAAGTACTTTTTGTATAAGATTGTAGTGGCCTTTGCACTTATGGTTCTGGCAATCTTTTGTGATAGTCACTACCAGGCAATCATTGGTAAAAACCCTTCCTTTGTAGTCTCCTAGCTTTACTTTTTTTTTTTTTTAATGGTAAACACCAGTGACTCAATTTTAGTTCTGACAACTTTCATATTTCTTTGACAGCGACAGGAGCAGACACTAAAGCATAGAAAGCCCTAATATGTTTGGAGACCTCTGAGTGGTTTGGTGGTTAGAGTTGTCTGGATAAAGCTGAGCAGTCATTCACACTATGGTGTGTCAATCAGACAGCAAAAAAAGATCTGAGGATGTTTCCATTAAACTCAGTCCCAGGAAAAATTGTCGAATGACATCTTGTCTTCACACTTATCTTGGTCCACTGTTGTTGCTATAACAAAATACCTTAGGGTAATTTGTAAGCAACAGAAATTTGTCACAGTTTTGGAGACTGTTAAGTCCAACTTCAAGACATCAACTGACTCGACACCTGGTTAAGGCTCTCTGCTTCATAGACTGCATTTTCTTACGGTCTCTTCACATGGCAGGTGTGTGAGAATTCCCTCAGGCCTTTTTATAAAGGCACTAATTTCATTTACCCCCCAAAAGCTTCCACCTCTTATACCATCTTCCTGGGGATTCGGTTTCAACATTTATATGGGGGAGCATAGCACTTTTCACCTCTGGAAACAGCTCTTATTCCACCTCAGATTCCCAGGGTGGAGATACACTGAAGCTCCAGATTCCTCAATGAAACAGAGCAATTCAAACCTACATATGCAGTGCTTGCTTTTGCCCATGGTAGAGATGCTGGGAAGTATCTGTAGGTTGAATGATGTGAATCCACAGATGAAGTCTTTTAAATTTAAACTGCCCTGTAAATCTCTGTGATCAATCACATCTATACTGACAAGATTTGCATGCTGTCAAAAAGTACTATCTTGGACCTGGGATTTAGATCAGTGGCGCCGCGCCTGCCTGCCTCACAAGCGCAAGGTCCTGAGTTTGATCCCGGGTACCAAAAAAAAAAAAAGTTTTTATGTCATAAAATTTGGGTCAGGGACCAAAGATATGCACCATTAAGCACTGCAAAATGGGAATTTACCTGCTTTTAAAGCCCTGGATCTTTCAGTCCTCCACCTCAGCTAAGTGTTCCTACCCAAACAAGGACCCAATCTTTGTCATTCTCCTGCATCCACAAGTCACTTCAAGTTCTGAGCAGAAAACCAAAATGCAGACTTCAGGCACACTGGCGAGTCAAGACAAGTGTGTAGCACTGGCCCCAAGGCCTTAAGAAGAAATTAGCCCAGAACCGTACAGCTACTATTCCCTTCGAACCCGGAAAGCAGACACCAGGGAGAGGAGGGACTAGGTCTGCTCGCTTGTCCCAGGCCTCCGTGGCTGTACACCTTGCGAAGAGAGGAGGAACCAGCTCCTCGGCGGCCCCGCCGTCCACAGCACTCACGTCTTTGCGGAGACGGTGAGATACTACTGGGGTACGAAGACCTTGGCTGCTTCACTTTTAAGTAACGACTTCGCCGACCCTTTAGGTCAGGGTCACCTGATCGGGGAGCTCCGTTGCCAGGACTCCTCAGAGCGAATCCCGCCAGTCAGGTTTCTCCTTTTGATCCCCTTCCCTGCCGTCCCGCAACTCTCCCCTCAGACCGCGCCGCACGCACCCCACTCCCCACCCCGAAACTACTCTCAACACTTCCTTCCGGGCCCGCGCAGCCCGGAGAGCTCAGTATCCGGAGCGGCGGCGGCGCTCGCGGGGATCCAGCGCAGCCACCCTGCCCCTCGGAAAAGAAAGGCGGCGCGCGGACTAGCTCACCACGCCCCGCGCCCCGCCCCGGCCCGGCCCGGCCCGGCCCGGCCCGGAGCTCTCTCTGTTCGGTCACCCGGGCTTCGGCGCCGGCAAGTGCAGGCGGAGAAGGACGCGGGCCGAGTCGCGTGCGCGCAGGGCCTCTCTCGCCGCCGCTTTCTCCACGCTCGGGGCCCACGAGGCCGCGTTTCTGCCCCGAACAATGGGCTTCGGTGCGCCGGGCGCTCGGGCCGCCCTGCTCCTGGGGGTGCTCCAGGTGCTGGCGCTCGCGAGGGCCGCCCAGCTGCTGGGTGAGTCTCGGGTCCCGGGCGAAGTTGGGCTCTCGAGTGGAAAGACCTGCGCGGCCCACGCGGAGGAGCCGGGACCGGGTTGGGGAAACTGAGGCTCCGGCTGGCCTTCCCTTGACCCCGGGCCCTCCCGGACGAGCCGGGCTCTTCCCAGGGTGTCTGGAAGCGGCAGTCGCAGGCCGGGAGGGGTAGGTGTAACCTGTTATTAGCCCTGGACTGGCCGTCCGGAGGGCGAAAATCGGTTTTGTGGCCCTGAAGTTCGTGTTTGTTGCGGGTTAGAGTTTATCTAAGGTTTCCATTGGTAAACAGGACGAGTTGGGTTGAAAAATATGTCTACCGATTCCCAGCAGAATCATGTCTACCAGTTAGTTGGAGAATCTTTCAAGCATCGTCTACTTGGGTAATGTCCGAAAGGGTAACAGTCAGAAGGGCCCTCAGACGACTCAAGTTAGACTTCGGGGCCCGGGAGGTTGGTGGGAGCCTTCGGTGAGCGCGCCCGCTCGCCCCACGGGGGCGAGGCTGAGGGTGAGTCAGCCTGAACATCTCGGCTGCCCGGGCGTCAGGAGCCCCAGGCTTGTCAGTAAGGTCCTGACAAAATGACGTTGACATTTCGCTCCCGTTTAGGGGATTTTTGTTGCCCTTTAGGGCTTTGGCCCGTTAGAGACTTTGAAAAAAACTTTTGGGCTGAGTCCAGGAAGTTGGGCTTTGCTGTGTAAATTCTTAGATACGGTATTTCCCTTTGTCAAGTACTAGAGAAATCGAAGCATCTGGTAATGATCAAATAAACTAAATTGCTTTAAGTGAACGAAGGTTTGCATGGTTTTAAATTCTACTTATCCTCTGTATATTTAGCCTTAGATTAGTTTTACCCAGCAATTGATAATGAGATCGATTTGCATAGTCAGGACGATTTGGGCACAACACCTGGCTTGTGCTGGAATAATGTAGGTGTACTGTTTTGCTGAACTTTGTGTTGGTTTGTTTGCTGAATTAATTGTACGTGTAACAGATTGACTTTGTAGACCTACTTTGGAGATAATTTAAGAAAAGAAGGATCAGTAAAATGTCTACTACTTTGGTGCAAATTTTATTCTAATTGTGGGAGAAGGTCTTCATTTTTAAAAATCATTTGCTTTGTGTGTTAAAGTAAACCTTTGTGTTGTTTTTCTATTGAATTACTGATTAAAGAAAGTAGGTGTGCCCTTGATTTCTTTGCCCTCATAACATACTTTTTGTGTGCCCTATTTTTCACACTCACTGTGCTATTCATTAATTTACCCTTTGAGGTTGATGCTGTTTGGAAAAGTTGAGATTTTCTACTCTAGGAGAACCCTGATTTCATGAATTCATATATCCAAAGTGAGCTGGAATTCATTTCTGCAGACTGTTACCTTGAAAGTAGATGAAAAGAAGGTTCAAAAAAGACTTCTCAAAAAAATGAGTAACCGTTTTAGTCTTTATAAATGTATAATTGGTATAAAGTGATTTTACAAGGTACATATAGTGATTTTATAACTTTATGAGGTATACTGATTTTTAACACACTAATAGCTTAATGTTTGCCGGACACATTTTCTGTGCATCCCATCCTATGTCAATGGAGGCCCATAAATCATCCCCTTGAATCCTTACAGTATTATCCCCATTTTATAGGTAGGTAAGCAGAGGCTTAGAGATAAGCAGATTTAAAGTAAAACAACTAATACATATTTGAGCTCAGATCAGAAACCAAACTCTTTAACCATGTCACCACTAAGCCACTTGAGGTGATGTTGGCTCTTAAAATAGGTGATGCTTTTAATTCCACAATACTGCCATTGTCTAGAATATTATGGGAAAAGATAAAAACATCATTGAAATTCTGCTTTTAAAATATTATTCATTCTACTGCATAATTTTATAAATATCCTCAGCTGAAGGCAGGGGAGACTGTGAACAAATCACCAAACAGGATAGATCATGATAATCCAGTGAAGGGCATTAGTAGAAGGGAAGGGAAGTCATTTTCATGGCAAATAGTGACAGAACTCACCTTTAGCAAGCTTGGGGAGAGAAGGGATTTTTTTTACTATTACCACTGAAAAGTCTAAGGCTTGAGGTGGCTTAGAAACCGGTGTATTCAAGGGTTGGAGTAGGTTGTCATGAAATCAAACCAGCAATAGTAAAAATAGCAGGAGGACAAAAACAAGAGGTTTATGCAGCAGGCCAGGCAAAAACATGACAGTGGTAAATGGAAATACGAATTTAGGTGCTGAGACCAATCACTTACTAATGGACTATACATGGAGCAAGAAGAGGGGAACAATCAAAGGATGACCTCTTGGTGTAGAGGTTCAGCAGCTGGTAATGCAATTACTGGGAAGAGTAAATTTAAGAAGAAAATCAGCAGTTCTGTTTTGGCACTCATGTGCAGGCTTTGGAATCAGCCACCCTTCTGCAAATTCGGACTCTGCCACTTAACTAGGTGGGTGGCCTTCTGTGTTCCTGTCACTGCAAAGTAGTACTCCTGTCTTAGAATGTTAGGTAGGGTTAGATGAGCTAATACAGGCAACATGCTCCCCACAAGGCCCACAACACTTTAAATATTGATGATTATTTGATAACCTGCTACTAAATACATTTACGTAGTCTACGGATCTTGCCCTTTTTCAAGTTTAATCTTACACTGTATCCTTTTATGATAAATGAATTTTAATCCCATCGAGAGGAAGATATTTGTCTGAGGAAGATAGTTGAACAAGAGGTAAAGACTTCTCCACATTGTTCTTGCATACTTTCTCTGATGTTGTTTTGTTTTTAAGTGGGAAAGGGTTCATCTGTGTAAAAAGTACACAATAATACACTTGCTCTTTTCCCTTGGTGGTATATGTACTTAATCTTCCATTACACAAAGATTCAAAGTGAATGAGCCACTCTGAAAAGTTGCTTAACTGGGAAATAAATTTAAAATTTTTCTAAATGTTAAGGTTAAAATTAGTTTAAAAATCAAAAAATCATACTGAGAAGACTTACAATAAAAGATGAAAAGCTACCCATTTCATTTCTCCATAGCCTTGGGGTATTATGAAGACCTACAGGCACCGAGAGTAGAAATGGCCCTGCTGAGATGGGTCACTCCATGCAGAAGGTGGGGGGGTATCAGTAACAGAAATCAGTGCATCTCATTACCTCTTTGCCTTCATGTGTATGAATGAACTCTGGCAAAGCTATTTGACTGGCACATTGTAAGTAGTCTTGTGTTTGTTGCATAGCTAGATGTCCTCTGTCTTTCAAGATCCAATAGTACAATTTCAAATTTGCTGATAGCTTCAAGGTATGTTTCATAGCAACCATGATAAAAGTAGAACTTCCTGTGGAATAATATACCCCCCCCCACACCACCGCAGGGCAGAAAGGAATATGTTACCAGTGTTCTTAGTTTAATATTAAATGTTCTTTCATAACAGGATCTCTCTCTTTTTTTTTTTTAATAGAATCTCCAAATACAGAGATTCCTGTGCCTCTGCACAGCTCCAGTAGTAACCTATCAGGTGAGTTTTATAAGATCTAAGAAATGGATTTTCCTCTGTTTAGAGTACCTGAAGTGTTAACAGCCAGGGAAGGACATGTAAGCTAGTGTACTGACCTGTCTTTTAACCATGAGTTACTCATTTACAAATCACTATACTCTACCTGTCCATTGCAGGTATTAATAATGATAGTTTGCTGGATTAGTGGTCTCTGTCTAGCAAAGCTGTGAGTAACTTTTAAAATAAAAGCATATTAGGCTGGGGATTTAGCTCAGTGGTTCTGCCGCCTGTCTTGCAAGCACAAGGACCCGAGTTCAATCCCTGGTTCCAAAAAAATAAAAAATAATAAATAAAAGCATATTGGAATTTTATACTGAGTTTTGAAGCATATTTTAGATGTGAAGATTTTATATTCTACCTATGGATATGAAATATGAGTATGTAAGTCTGCAGGTCTTGCTAATGAAACAAGTCATTCTAAACTGGTCAGCCATCATCACTATGCTTTGGCTGACTCAAGGGACGTGGCTTACATGTCCACCGACAGACTTCGACCTGGCATCTTGTTTCTCTTTTGAAACAATTGTTTAGACCCTTTCTCTGTCCTTCAGTGTGAGGCAAATGGAATCCTTGGGACTCTTGTGTTCAGTAGTATGGAAAGATGCAGGAACCAGGCAGACATCAGTGTCAGTAGTAAACCAACAAAGTATGTTTCTCATAAGCAGTGGTTAGGATATTTTCTCGTTACCCTTATTTTTCATAGTTGATTAAGTTGTAAACCAGAAAAAGTTACACATGTCCTTTCAGTAGACCCATTTTCTCTACTTCATCAAATACTCATTGGGTATCTCTAACACACTGGTATGTTCCAAGCACTAGGGATACATAACGGGCCAGTCCATGACTCTTTGGAGTTTTTCTTTGTTTTGTAATTGTAGTAAACAAAACATAAATTTTATTGTTTTTAACAATTTTTTACTTTACACTTTATGATTTTAAGTTTTAGTTCTGCAGTTCAATGGCATTAAGTTCACTCACATTATTGTGTGCCTTCGTTGAATTTTCTTTCTTGTGGGCATTCTAGTGTTCCACGCACCTCATGTTCTGTTTCCCTCTTTGGTCTGCCTTTCATACTGGTATCTGGTAGAACAGTCAGGATATGCTGTTATTCTAGTTTTAGAAATTCTGAAAACACAGGTCTTTTTTTGGGGGGCGGGGGTTGGTACTAGGGATCAAACTCAGGAACTTACAAGGCAGGCAGCGGAACCACTGAGCTAAATCCCTGGCCCTAGTTTTAGTAATTCTATGGAACAAATTTTGTGTGGGAGAAAAAGGACTAATCTCAAATAGAATAGTAATTGTTGGATGTTTATGAGAGGGTTTTTTAAAAGATACTTTATTAGAGTGTTAGGTCTTTTCCTGTTGGCCTTTATTGAATCTGATTCTTCACTACTGAAGTTTTAACTTTAGATAAACCAAGAAGATAGAAAAAAAGTAGAGATGACTTTATCAATAATAACATTAACAACAACCACCATTTATCAAATGGCTCCAGTTTACAAAACATTTTTAAAATAGTGCTGAAGTGGCTATCATCACCATTTTACACTTGAGTAAATTCAAACTCAGGATGGTTAAGATCACGTGGCAGTAAGCGCTACATTCAGGATTTGAAACTGAGCATCATGGATTTTATTTATTTATTTATTTATTTATTTATTTATTTTTGGTACCAGGGATCAAACTCAGGACCTTGCCCTTGAGAGGCAGGTGTGGTGCCACTGAGCTAAATCCCCAGCCCATGTCATGGATTTTAAAATGTGGGATCTTTCATCACGTGCTGAAACTGTGGTGTGCCCTTGTTTTTAAAAATGCTTTTTTCTGAACAAATAGCACTGTTGACATCAACTGTGAATGATTATTAAAAATCAGGGCAGTGCTTTGAGGGCAGCTCCAGAGTCTATGGGATGATATCAAATGTTCCTTCTAGAAAAGAAAAATTTGTTGAGAAAAAAAGCATTGCACCAATTTTTTTTCAGAAAGAGATAAGCTAATACAACTATTAAAAATGACTTTTGGTCAGTGTGTAACAACACTTCTCATAACCATTATGTCATTCTTACATCTCTTTTGAAAACTCATATGAAGTATGATAACTTTGTGTATTATTGGACATGAAGCTTAAGTTTTTTGTTTTATAGTAATAGAGACCCTTCTAATTATTGACATATTTTAGATATACCATTTACCAGTTTATTTGGTGCTATTTAGTACAGTTTATTTGGAACCACTACCAGTAGGAAGATTATTTGGCAAATTCCGTTAAGACCGTGTTCCAGGAAAAAAATATATGTTGGAAAAAGTGAGGACTGCTCATACTACCTAGAATACTAGGTATCTGTCACTTATAGAGTGTACTACTTTGGATTCAATTAATCTTTTTCTCTTTGTTTTGGTCTCCTAAATTCAGAGAGAGTAGAATCTATAACTTATCCTAATGCCTAATACTACACTATATAATAAAAACAATAAGGTGAGTGTTTAAATTTCTCTAAAAATTTCAGGAAAACTCATTGCTATAGTGCCATTAATTCCCTTCAAAATATTCTCCTTCACTTTAGACACACTGATCCTATCATTCTTGGTACTTTCTAAAGCAGTTCTGGAAATCCTGTTTCACAAGTGTCTTTAGTTGCACTTTTTTGGTTGCCTTCAGGACCTGAATCAATTGAAAACATTTACCTTTCATGGTCAGTTTGACTTTGAGGATGAGCCAGAAATCACATGGTGCCAGATCTGGTGGATAAGGACACACTATGATGTTTATGAGTCTACCTTTCTGTTGGATGACACTAGGTAGCAGAATTGATATTTTTTTATCACACCTTGTAAGGATACAAAAGACTTCCAGAACTGCTTCAGAAAGTGGCAAGAATGGTGAGATATGTATGTTGGAAGCAAGGGGGAGTATTTTGAGGGAGATGAATGGAAATGTGTAATGAACTGTAATAAATTTTTAAAATTTAAATGTCACTGTATTTTGATCACACCTCATCTGGTATATAGTAGGTACAAAAATATGAATATTTCAGTTGGTTGAAGTGAATTTTGGAATCAAATATATCTTTTATAATTGCTCAAGCCACTGCTATATATATTTTACATATAGGTACTGGTCCATGCAACTACCTAGCTGTTTTTTTTTTTTTTTGGAATGGAGGTTACTTCCAAAGTACTGAATTGTATGTGGCAGTTCAACTTTTTTATTGAGGACAACCATACTTTTTGACATGCTTGTCTACAGAGACTTGTTTGATGCCCATTCAGCATATAGAGAAAATAATTTCCCCCATATATATAGTAATAGGATTTATTTTTAAGGATCTATGGATGGATAAGTTTATTCTTTATGGTACAAGGAAGGCATATGTCCAGATTCTTTTTCTTAATAGGTTTTGGGGCAAGGTTATAAGGAAATGTCACACAGTCCAGAAGTGAGAACAGATCTTGGTAGCCAGAGCAACAGTTCAGTATCATTCAGGATACAGCCTTGTCCCTTATTACTTAGTATTGACACTTCCCCAAAAAAGAGAAGTCTGAGAAGGTTAGATTACCACCATCCAGCCTGAAGCTTTTGGCTGCAATAGAATGGTGAGTGGGGACGTAATTTGTACCAAGTTAGTTCCAAAGCAGTTCGCCTCTTAATCAGGTATGCCCCATCCATACATGATTGCCTCTGGTTTGGTAACCTGTCCTTGGCCCAGTCATTTGGACTCCTCTAGTAGGATTGGTTTTTATTCACAGACATGGCAGAGACCACAGCAATTCTGAACAGAGAGACCTTGCATGAACCCAGGGTACTGTAAAGGAGCGCAGTGGACATTTGGGAAAAGCTTACTCAGATAATAATGCATTCCATTTGAACACTTCCATTTGAAGTGGAAGGAATTTAACAGGTATATATTCCATATCCTATACTTCTATTTATTTTAGGTAAAATGTTTTATGTATAAAAGAAATAATTAGATAAAAACTTCCTGTGAAATTGCAAGCTACTTTTCAGATGGAAATCAGTTGTCCTGACAGGCTGCTTTTGATGCAAATGGTGTTCAGTAGCAAGACAGACAGACATAGATACAAGTATTCATACTGGTTTTCAACTAGAGATTTCACGTAGCAAAGAATTTCTCTAAATGTTGTGAAGAATTTGTTCAGACTCAACTGCTACAGTTCCTCAGAGACAGTTATGTACAATTCATGTTTTTGATATTGTATTTGAAAATTGGTAGTAATGTTTAATGCCATTAGATTTTTGTCTGAAGGAGTGTAGAGTGGGATAATCATACATTATTTTGTTCACTTACTCAGCTAACGGATGTTTATTTGGACTGATGACTCTGCTAGTGGCTGTTGTAGGCACAGGCATTTATTGGTAAATAAGATGAATGTCCACTCTCATGAAGTTTATAACCAGGTGGAGAGAGACTATAAGGAAGTAATACTAAAGATGGTATTGGATCATGGTTTTAAAAAGTAAATAGTTAATGGGTAATGTGGTAGAGAATGACTAGAGAAGGTATATTAGTCACTGTACTTGGACAGTAAAAAATTTGAGCTCAAACTCAAAATACCCATCCAGCCATCCCTTCCTTTCACCTGCAATACCCACTCCATCAGCACAACACTGCTTTTCATGTCCACTACTCCCACCTTGTCTATCAGCTGTCTGGACTCACTTAACAGGCTCCTAATTCCAGCCCTCACAGTCACACTTTAAATAGGAGAGGTTTATTTTGGCTTACAGTTTTACAGGGTCTGTAGTATGCTCCAAGGCAAGAATGGCATGGTAGAGGGCCTAGCAGAGGAAAGTTGCTCAACTTGTAGCAGCCAGGAAACACAGCAGGAAGACACGGAGAGATATACTCTACAAGGGCATACCCCCAGTGATCTACCTCTCCCAATCAGGCCTCACCTCCTAACAGGATATTCATTTATTAACTCACCAAGGATTAATTTGCTGC